CGGGAGTTGTCCTACTTGTACTTATTATATTTTAGTAGGGTTGTCACATCATTATTTTAGTTGTACGTACAGTTTGTACATGTAATGTAAAGTTCAACGATTTGGTCTTTTTTTTTATGATACAAGTGACGGGAGGAACAAGTCGCAAGACTGGTCAAGTCGTAACACAGACGGAGGAGATGCTTTAAGTCATCAACTATTTTATTGAAAATTCATACATACATGCACTTCCGTCCTATATCACCCACTGCTAAGTATAGGCCTTATTTTGAACCGGCTAAACTTTCTTCTGGTCCCAGTTAGTTACTTAGTTACCCATCAACAACTTTTTCTTATCATCAACCCCGCGCCATTCTCTCCATCAGCTATACAACGTCCACATTTTGTAGACAAACAGAAAAATAACTCACGTTGTTAGAACGCGACTCCGCCAGCAAGTGTCAGTTACTGTATAGCAATAGGCGTGAAGTATCTTCAAGTTCAGCACAGGCCGTGCAAAGTTTAAATCGCAATGAACCAGGCATGCCTGTGCGCATGCACGCGAGTGAAAGCTCTCACTTGTGGGCCATGAAAGTCGATGGTAAGTGGACAATGTGATAAGTAATAATTGTTTGTTTCACCTACAATTAATAACACAACAAAGGGGGTAATTTAGTACCAGCTCCTTGTGAAAGAGTTCGTCCAGGGTAGTACTGCCACCTTACCTGTTTCTGGCGTCATGCAGTAATGTGAGCATTACTGTGTTCCGGTTTTGAAGGGTTTTGGTGAAATTACAGGCACATGGGACTTGTCAACTTATGTCTCAAGTTGACGGGCGCAGTGATAGTGCCCGTCAGATCTTTGCAATTTAAAGCTCTGATTGGCACTGTAACTGTTATGGACAGGCGTGTAGCTTATGTTATATAAAAAAAAGAGTTGTCACTCTTTTTAATGCGGAATCGTTCTAACCCGATCAAAAAAGCTTTAATTCTATGTAATAAGAGCAAAAAGGACTTCGACATCTGTCGCCAGGTAGCTGTAAAGGTACTAACTGGGCGATAAATCTTTCATAGATTTCTCACAGATGGCGCTACGACTAAAAAGTCGTTGAAAAACCAAATACGTGAGGTCCACTGGTTCGTTCCGTGGCTTAGTTGGTATAGCGTCTGGCGCGGTAAGAAGACGTCGGTTCGAATCCGGCCGGATCGAAGGAATTTTTTCTGACTGTTCGATCTTTGTATTAATAATTATAACAAACTAGTGGAGTAATTTCACAAAAAGTAATTGAATATCTATTCAATAAAAATTCAAAAAGGACTTATTAACTAAAATAACTAACAACTAACGTATTTAAATCGAATTGTCGCTCGACATGTTTCGAATTTTAGTTTGTGCTGATCTGGAACCAAAAGATAAACATAGAAGGTATCAGCTGCTTATCATCCCACCATGGTCGGTACCCACCGGATGGAAAACAGCGTTAGGTACTACGTCAGTGGTTAGTGTAGATGCGACTTTAGAAACGTTGTTAGTGTAGTGTGCAATCCTGCGTAAGACTTTAATAAAAATGAAGCAAACGAGGGTAGTTTCTCGCCCTCGCCGACTGCGCCCGCAGCCGTACTGAGTGATCGTGCTGCCAGGGCCTTGGCGCGCAGTTTCCGTCGAGTCACCGCCGCGGAATCTCATGATTAAGGACCACGAATTGGTTCGCAATATGTTGAGCAAAAATTCCACTTAAATATGAATGAACGAATGAATGATATATATGTGAGCTATCAGTTATTTTAGTTAATGTCTGAATCTCACGGTGGTTCTCTATTTAGAAAAGGACTTAGATCGCCGACACACGTTGTCTTCGGGTTCACTCCATCATTTAGTAGCAGTAGAGCTCCTTGTGAAAAATCTATTTCTACAGTAATATGAGCATTAGTGCGTTCCGGTTTGGAAGGATAAGGTTGCTAGTGAAATTACAGGCACACAGGCCTTGTTAACTTGTGTCTCAGGGTGACTTTGAGTGGCACTGCAACTGTTATGGACAGGCGTGTCGCTTGCCGCCAGGTGCACGACTCATTCGTCCCGTCACTTGATATCATATAATCTCATTACAGAGCACCAAAAATACTGACCTCAAAAGTCATTCAACCCCTAGTTTGCCACCCTTAGAGGTGGAATATTTTCTTGAAATTTAAATGGGACCGTTTCTGAGGTACCCTCTTTGCAACAAATAAAGAATCATCAAAATCGGTTCACAAATGCTGAACTTGTCGCGTAACATACGTACAAAAAAACACACAGTCGCATTGAGAACCTCCTCCTTTTGTTGAAGTCGGCATAGAATTGAATCTAAGTCTGTGCTCTAAAATTTGTAGTTAGTTCCACAAATGTGTTAATTCCATCCGTCCAATTTCCATTAATTCCACATAAATATATTAAAAATTAAACAAATTAGGTATGTGAAGTGTTACCTTGTCCAATATGGTCAAGTAACCTTTATGCTAATTAATTGTGTAATATGATTAAAATTCATTTATTTGTGGCAACGACTTCAAATAGACAAGAACATTTACAGCAACTACATGTTCCGAACAAAACACTATAAATAAAATTAGTGATAGTGTTTTGTATTAATGTTGAATTTTGTCAAAGAGTATCAGTACCGTAGTACCGTGGACAGAAGCGACAGTCTATACCTCGACTCATCCAAAGAACAGAGTCCGACGTGCTTATACAGCGAAAATAGGATAAATACGTAAACTCGTTATTCAAAATAGGGCTAATCGATACGTGTTTTCAGAATTTTTATATCGTTATTTCGTTTCGGAAATATAAAATCGAACACTGGTCAATCTGATATCCACAGCGAAGAACACCGATCGAAATGTACAATGGCCTGAGAATAAGCAGTGTAGCACATAGGTCTTTGTTCTATGGATGAGTCGACCTGTTGGGAATGAGCTAGGCAGGCAGCTTAGAGCATGCAGGCAGTTAATATTGAGTGTATACCAATGATATTTATCCATAATTGGGGAATTAACGTAAATACCCTTGTAAAGTCGCTATAAGTTGCACAATATGGAACCTGGAATATGGAACCCTCATTATGCCAAGCATATAGACCAAGTAGAAAGTATTCAGAAGTTTTTAAGAAGACTAAGATATAGGTTTAAGGGCGCTATGCCCCAGTTTCAGTCGTTAGAATTAAGACGCGAACACAGAGATCAAATGTTTCTGTTTAAGATTATAAATGGCATCGTTGATTCTCCTTTCTTAATGAGTCGTATTTCATTCAAATGTCCTAGGGTTAATGCTCGCTCCAACACAACATTGTTTTTCGTACCTATTTGCAGTACTAACTACGCTGGGAATAGGTTTCTAATCAGAGCATGTAAATCTTATAATGATCGTTACCACCACATCGATATATTTACCTGTAAACTAAATTGTTTTCGTCAAATGTTAAAAAAGTAGATTTTAGTTAATAAATTAAGTAATTATTTCTTTTCTGCAATAATTGTCTCTATTTTTTTAAAACTTGTTTAGAGCTTTGTCATTTGGTTAGGCCATTGTTTACAGAATTTTGTCATTGTGTAGTAGATTAAGTGCTTTCGGCCTTCACTTTGTGAATTATCTATCATTGGAAACAAAATTTGGCTAAATTTAATATTTAATAGGTAAACAAAACATTTATGTAATATGTAAGCTGTATGTTTCTTTAAATAAATAAAAAAAATATATATATATTTCAATTTTCTTTGACCCAGGGGCCTTCGGTTTACTATTAAAAAGAAAAAGAAAAAGAAAAAAATACAGTCGAATAGTTGAAATTATAACCGTTG